AAAGAAAGAAAAGAAAGACAAAAGGAAGCAACTGTTTACCTGAAAGGAGATTAATCTAGGTATTTCTTTTGCTATAAAGGGCATTACTGGACGACTGGTGAAACTGGAAGATGGTTCATAAATTAAGTAATATTAGTTTATCAATGCAATTTCCTGACTTTGGTAATCATACTAGTGTTGTATATGAAGAGTCCTTGTTACCATTATTATTTTGTATTTAGTACAGAGTCTATAGGGTCTTACTACGTAGATTGGACTCGTAGTGATCTGCCTCTATGTTCAGCCACCCTAGTGCTGGGATTACAGGTACACACCACCACGCCCAGTCTCAATAGCCATCTCAGTGTGCCCCGCAAGAGGGCGGCACACTGGGGATCAAACCCCAGCCACTGTGCTCTGCCTAAGCAGGCACTTTACTCTGCTGAGCTATCTGGCCAGACCAAGATATCTTATTTCTTAAAAATGCACAGCGAAATATTTGGGGCTAAAAGGATATCCTATCTGGAAATTTCAATTAAATATTTGAGAAAAATATAGAAAGTAAAAGCAATTATAAAAAGATACCATTTGAGGTTTTCTAAGAAAATGTTAACATGCTATACATCAAATATTATGTTGACTTTTAAAGGTATACTAGTCTAGGGGGTCTTCAATGTTATATTTTAAAATAAAGAAAGAATACAAACCTTCTCTGGAGTAACATACAGAAGTTTTACAATTGGATCTTTTTTTGCTAGCTGGAGGTAAATACTTGCAGCTTCAGAGTCAGTCTTATCACCTGTCAAATATGTAGCTGGAATCTAAATATAAAAGTAATAAATTTAAATTTTATACATTACTCTGGGAGAATCATATTTTTCTTTAGGCTTATAACTATTTTATAAGTCATATATTGAACCTACCAAATGAAATATATATCTCATAATAACAGCAATCAATACACTTTTTTTTAATAAAAAAAACCTTTGTTGGGCAGAACTAAAACCAGCCTGCCCATTATATACTTCCTGAATTTGTACATAACATAATATGAGTTCAGCATACAAGAAATTCCAGTGCTAACTCTGGTTGCATTTTTTTTTTTTAAAGGTAATGTGTTTTCTAGGGTTTTTTTTGGCGGAACTGGGGATTGAACTCAGGCCCTTGCGCTTGTCAGGGAAGTGCTTATTCCACTGAGCCATCTCCCCGGCCCTGTGTTTTCTAGGTTTTAAGGCACAGTGATAGCAAGAAGGCCAGAACAGTGGCACATGACTGCTGAGGTGCTCTGCAAAAGAACTCCAGAATGGTGGTCTTGCTGAGGTGTGGTGACTCATAACCCTGCAACTGATTCTGTTGATGACAATGTGAAGAACTCTGTAAAGTGCACTTCCTTAAACTGTCATGAGGAAAAAGATGTGTGTGGGCACATACATTTGCATTTTTAAGACATAAGGGAAGGAGAAATATGCTAATCTGGTAGAAGCAAAAAAGGAAATCCCTTTGTATTAATAAAAAAATTAATTAAGAAAATATAAATTAAAAGTTCTTATTAAAATACATTTTTATCAAATAAAATGAGATTGAATTGGGCTGGGGAGATAGCTTAGTAATCTAAGCGAATGCCTGGCAAGTGCAAGGACCCGGGTTCGATCCCTGGTACCACATGGCATGCCAAGGTAGCCACAGAAAACAGGCATGGTGTTGCATCTCTGTCATCCCAGAACTGGGGAGGCTGAGATAGGAGGATCACTACGAGTCTGAGCTGCATAGTAAGATTCTGTACCAAATACATAAATTAAAATAAAAAAAGAGATTGAATTATAGATCATTATATGTACTGGAATTTTCCAACACTTGTGTTTAAGACTCTTAAAATTCAAGAATTTACTTAACACAGAGGTTACCTAAGTACTGAAATGTAATTGTTCCTAAGGCCCACTTTTATTAGTGTTTTTAAATAACTTACATCCAATGAAGTCAGCTTTTGGACTTGATCTACTATTAATGACCTCAAGGGAGAAATGACAATAGTGACCCCAGGAGAAACGCAGGCAGGCAGCTGGTAACACAAACTTTTGCCACCTCCTGAAAGACAAATGATGGAAAAAAATCTGTTAGCTTCTATGTTGAGAAGAGGAAGGTAAAAGATTCAAAGGAAATGACATATGATATTAAAAAAAAATTCATAGGCTGCCAAGTGTGTTGTCCACAGTGTCAACAATGTGCTACACTGAATGAGACAAACTATTTAGGTAATTTCAATGTGTAAAAATGATGTTTTAGAATATTTACTGTAGGCACATGCAATAGCAAAAGCAAGATTCAGGGGGCTGGTGAGATGGCTCAGTGGTCTAAAGCACCTACTTAAAACAAGCTTAGCAAAGCACAGGGACCGCGGTTCAATCCCCCAGCACCACATGCCAGCCCGCCCCGCCCCCAGGTGGGCTGAGCTGGCCACACACACACACACACACACACACACACACACACACAAATAAATAAATAAAAATTAAAAAAAAAAGATTCGGGGCAGGAAACATTTTTTTTTTTTTTTAAAAATGCATTTAGAATGGAATCTACAGGGTCTCATTACACAGAGTGGACTTGTAATGATTCTGTTTTCATTTGGGAAGCATTTCAGTGCTTCCCAAGCAATGGGATTACAAGTGCACACCGCCATGCCCAGTCTCAAGGCAAGAAACTTAAATGCAGTGGAATTGCTTAAAAAGTTTACTTAGGACATCTAAGCATAATAACCTTTATTTCTGTATAAAAGGTCTCTAAAAACCATGACACAAGGGCTAAAATAACTTTCTACATAGTGTATATATTTTTAAAGTTGTAATGAAATACACAGTGTTAAAAACCATTAAACCATGACCCGCACCTTTCTAACTCAGAGGCACTTTAAAGATTCCAGCTCTTCTGGTGGTATGGTAGCACACACTCACAATCCCAGCACCTCGGAGGCTGAGGTGGGAGGGACTCCTGGGAGTTTCAGGGTAGCCTGGACCATGTCTCAAAAAATAAACAAGATCCCAGGGGTTTTTTTGTTCGTTTGTTTGGTTTTTTTTACCATTAGTATAAGTTTCTAACACTGAATAGCTGGGGGTTGGGAGTTTAAACTCTTAGCATTTCCATTAGTAGAATAATAGTCCTAACTTCTTTTGGAAATAAAAAAGTAAGATTACATTTGGCGATCCTAACAGAAAGAAAAATTTTGAGAGACGAAAATATTCGTACTATGTAACTCTAACTCAAAATGCTAACCAAGACAATGAGGATACATTTCTTCAATGCCCTCTTCCCCTCCTCCTGTAGTGCTGGGTATGGAACCCAAACTAGGCAAGTGCTCTATCACTGAGCTATATCTCCAGCCCCACATACACATTTCAAAATAACTAAAATGATTATGCATCACTCAATTTTCAATTTCACCAATTTAAAAAGACAGAAGCTGGTATTAAGCAGTTTTTAGGACTTCAATTTTTTTCTTTCAACTACTCATTCCACCCCTTCTTTTTCACATGAATAGTAAGCAAATTCATTTTGCTATATACGTGGAAATGTCAAAGAGCAAGATGTGAAGAATAGAGAAGTGCTCTAACACATAATTACCTACATGTACAGAGACATGCCACTTACTAGATGTTAGTTTTAACATCTGCAACATGCATTAGACTAGTGGTTAAAAAATGTTTTTGTGTAAAACAAATCTTATCCTGAATTATTTCATATATATCAGTGAAGCTGAAACTGGGCTGGAAAGGACCTCTAAAATGCCTGCATCCTTTCTAGTGTAGTTTTCAAGGGCCAAATTAGAATTGAAACACAAGATTCAGGATGGAGTTAAAAAAATTGAAGTGTTGGTAAATGAACACTGTCTTAATTTATTCTTTATTTCAGAATAATCTGTTGAATAGAGCAGCGGTGTCTCTTCCTTCCCTGCATCCTGGGGTCCAACCTCATTTTAGTAAAGATCTTAATGATAACAAAAATGATCAGTGGGTCAGCCAGTGTGTGGCCATATTTCCTGTGAGGTGTAGGCTCTCCGCCCCCCAATCAGGGTCTGGATGTGGGGACGGCAGTACCCCGGACCAGCAGTGGGGTGCACGGCAAGCAGGGGTGAGGGGCCAGAGGCCCGCACAGGGCACAATTGGCTCAAAGCAGGGCAGAAGCCAAGGGGCAGAGGCTACTTAGAGCTGGTCTCCTGGGGCAACCTGACTCGAACAGGAGCAGGGTGACAAGAGGGAAAGGGTATATTTTTTTAAAGCTGTGTTATCTTATCGTTTATTTATTTTTGTCTTTCTTTTCTTTCTTTCCCCCTCCTTCCCTCTGTCTGTTTCTTTCTTGTCTTGTCTTTTATGACACAGGGTCTCACTATGCAGCTTAGGCTAGCCTTGAGCTCACTTTGTAGCCCAGGCTGGTCTCAAACACACAACCATCCTTCTGCCTCAGCCTCCAGAGTGCTGGGATTACAGGAGTATGTCACCAGTCACAGTCACTGTCATAATGTTAAAATGAGATGGAAAAAATTCAGATGTCTAGTTAATATTAGTGGTAATGATGGTACTATCTAACTTGCTAAAGCGAAAGACAGAGGACTATGTGCAAGTACTAAAATTCCAAGTTTTCTGTTTATCTTGCTTATTTAATATTCTTATATGAATGACTGTAAATTTTAAGTGTTACAAGCTTTATTAGCAGAATGAAGTATTTTTCCTCCTTGTTGATTTAGTGTTCAAAAATCAGATTTTATTGGTACATTTTAGATATACATAGTTACCACATTCATAATAGAACATTTGATGAGATTGGAAAGAACCCACCAAATAGGGCAAACAATTAAAACACAGGAAAATAATAAGAGGTATACAATAGTAGTCTTTCAGCTATTCTTCTGTGTATAGCAGCAAAATGTTTCCACCGGCACACTCTACACATGGACTTCTCTTCCACCCTATAGGTCATGATTCCATCTGGGTCTACAGGGTGGATTTCAAAGAAATAGCTGTAGCTCAGCCCCTCAAGTGATGCCTGGCCACCAGTAACTGTCATGGTCATTATGCATGTCCACAACACACTAGAACTTTGTGCGATATCCTATCCTCAAACTGTTAGAAGTGCTGGTCATTTACTTGCCATTCCAGTATTTATCTTATGTTTTACTCTTAGTACTTCTTTGCTATCATGAAAACTTTTTCTTAGTTCAATTGTTTTGAAACATTTAATTTTTAATTAATTAGTATTTAATTTGCTGAATATTGCTTAATTTTAATTTTTGTTCTAAGATTTATACTATATCTTTGACTTATAATTTATTTAAAAGACATGGTATGATAGCTTCTCCTAGTACTAGAAACTTTAAAAAGTGTATTTCCGTTTTCTGTTGACTTTATAATACTTCTTCCCTGTCTTTTATACACACACATATGTATGAAAAAGAAATGTGTATAATCAACATAAGATTTTATGTTTCATAGAAATCTTCAATGACCTTTAAATAAGTGTTCATCTAATATATTTTATATAATCCTGCATAACTATCATATTGGGAGCTCTTTATTGTTCATCCAGGAGCATACTGCAACTTCTCTTGCCTTTTGAATTAAGCTCTTTGTTATTTCCTATATGCTAAGTCTGGAGGTATTAAAATAGTTCAAGTTTGTATAACTAGAAAATCTTACTTTTAGTTTTCAAAGGTATGTTTGCTAAGTATAAAATTCAAAGAGGACAGATCTTTTTTTTCCTTTCAATCCTTTAATTATTCTCATTTCCTACACATTTGATCCTTTTTTTTCTTTCTAATGTGGAATAAGATGCTATTTAATTTTGTTCCTCCATAGCTAATTTTTTTTATGTAAATGTTTTAATGATTTTTTTCTTTACCATAAGTTTTGGACAATTTCATTTTTGTGTATCTTGGTATGATTTTATTTAAATTTCTTGTGCAAAAAGGTTCATTTTTCTTGGAAATGCAGTATTGTAAGTGGAACTAATTTCAGAAATTTTAAATGTTTAAATATTTATTGCCTATTCCTTGCTACTTTGAGAATTCTAATTATATGAATGTAAGTTTCTTGGTTTTGACACAGTGAACTATTATTGCTGATCTGTAAATTCTTCAGTTTTATTTTGGACAATTTTTATTGTTATATTAATTGGTTGGTAAATAATTCATTTTCAATTTGCAATTTATTAAAAAAATTAAATAAACAAACATAATAGAACATTTGTACCTAGCAGGCTGAAAAATCTTGGACTCTTCAAAGGAGAGTACAAGAAGGGATGCTGAACACTTGGCATCCCCACTGCAAGCGAGGAGATGGATGGGGGCAAAGTACCTTGCTTGCGCTCTTGCTCAGGAGTACAGTTGCCCTCCAAGCCCAAACTATTACTCTAGAGCTGATGATTTTTACCACATCTTATCATTGGACTATATTTAAAAAATTGTCAGAAACCATCTGACAATGATTTTTGTTGTTGTTGTTCACTTTCTAGGCTTACTTACATTAGAAAAAAGAAAAATTCCTGATCAAGTCAACACAGTGGGCACTGAATTAAAAATCTTAAAAGAGCTGTAAACTTTATTATGTCAATAACTAGAACAAAGAACATGAGATAATAATCTTCTTATGATGGCATGGGAGGTTTAAGAGGTCTTTAAATGATAGAAATACTATGTAGGTGTTCTTGTATTGCTATTAAAGAGCTTTCATTTAACATCTGCCAATGGATTCTTGCCAATTCATATCTAAAAATACATACCAGTGGGCATTAGGATAAAACAGTCTTCACCAAGCAGTGCAGCATTGATCGCCTCAAGCTGATTAGTTCTAAAATTATGCAGGCCAAATTTTTTGTGAAAAATCTTCATCATTTCTTTTGTATGAGGAAAACTAAGACTTTGGAAGTGCTCCTGCTTTGTATTTTTGGATGCTAAATGTTGCGTCAACTTGTCTGTGAAAACAAATAACGTTAAGAAAAGTCAGTGCAGTAATGTAACTACACAGCAATTTAACCTTGCCCTTGCAGCATCACTGGCATACCTATGGCACTCTGTATTCTTTTTGGTGTCTCTTCCCAACAGTCCCAAAGCCACCAGCAAATCCTTAAAGGTCCAAATCAAGTCTTTCATTGACTTTTCTACAATCCTACCAGTACTACTTCTTGCTCCTTTCAACGCTCCCTCGATCTTCATAGGTTTCTACTTGTTTTATTTAACAGTGTAGCGGATGGAACACAGGGCCTTATGCATGCTAGGCAAACACTCTGTTACTGAGCTGTATTCCTAACTCCTCCACTGGCTTTAAATTCTCCTTTCTGGGTACACTCCTGCCCTGCAGTACTGGGGATTGAATTCAGGACCTTGTGCTTGCCAGACAAGCACTTATTCTACTGAGATATCTCCCTGGCCCTGGGCTTTTTCTTTTGCCCCTTAAATTTTTAAGATTTTTAGATACTTAGGACTGGGCTCTTCACACATTGTTCTTTGTAATTTCCCTAAGTCTTTTTTTCTTTTGAGACAAGGTCTCACTATACAGTTCAGGCTGAGGTTCAACTCACTTTGTAACTCAGGCTGGACTCAAAAACTCACCACAATTCTCCTGCCTCAGTCTTCCAAGTGCTAGGATTATAGGCATGCACCACTACATCCACCTTTTTAAATCCTATGACCTTAAACAGAACCTGCATAAAGAGAAGGCTTAGATGTCTCTCAATGCCTCCCTAAGCTCCTGTCCCACAGGCATCTCCACCTGTCAAAGGAAATGTCCACTTGAATGACTTAACACAGCACTCAACAAGTCCAACACAACTCTCCTCAGCTTTTCTCCACATCCATTTCTACCTGCCGACTCCCTTGTTCCATGAATAGTGTTAGTAGGCTTGAAACCTCAGTTGTCTGAGTTGCTCTCAGTCCTCTTTCACAGCAGCTCTCGCATTCACCTCTCTGTGTCCTTGCAGGAGCTCCCTGGCTCAGGGGAGAACAGATGCTCATGCCAGCTCGGCAGCTCCTCTCACCCAACACTCAACTACCACCAAGATAATTGCAAGGATCACATATGACACATTCTAACATGATACCAAAATAAATCCATTAGAGTTATTTTAAAGGTCAACAGCGAAACTGTAAGAACAAACTCCAAGGTATTAAGTCATCAATGGCAAAACATAGGGAGGGTTGTACTTTATAAAACTGGGCACGTGTACACTTGTTTCAGCTAAAAACAATCTGTGATAACTTTATAGGGATGATGTAAAGTTTTAAAATTATATTTGGCTTTACTTTGGAGCCTTTACAGTAGCCTGCGTCACTCCTCCAGAAGCTCCCGTAAAAAAAGAAACAAAAAAAGATCCAACCTGTAGTAGATGTTTAATAAATCTGTTGACAATTTAAACAAACAAAAATCCAACCTAGACATTCCACTCATTAAACTCCAAGCTGCAAGCCAGCAGAAACAACTTGTTTTATCTTTCTAAGATCATCTAACTGTAGCTGGGCATAGAGGTACATGCCTATTATTCCAACACTCAGGAGGCTGAAGGAGGAGGACCACCTCAGGGCCAAGGTCAGCTTGGGGTACACAGTGAATTCCAAGGCCAGCCTGAACTACACAGTGAGACCCTGTCTTAGGAAAACAAAAACAGAAAAAAATCACCAGAACCAGCACAGGAGATGGCACATCATGAGCACTTAACAAACACACTGAGTAAATGAAAAGTATTTTAGGTCCAAAGAATAATCTGACTGCTTTAAGAAATTTCTTAAGTTACAACCTTCGTGGGGCCGGGGAAACAGCTCAGTAGAATAAGTGCTTGCCTGGCAAGCACCAAGGGCCTGAGTTCAATCCCCGGTTCTGCAAAAAACAAAACCAAAACAAACAAACAAACAAAAAAACACCTTCATAGATTGCCCTATAGCTCAGTATTTCAAGACATAATTATTGTACCATTTCTAATCATTTTTCTTCAATCCAGAATTGTAAAACATATATTTTTAGCATATAAATTCACCTTCTTTTTTCCTATCCCCCAAATCATTGAAAACTTAAGCCCCCATAAGCTTTATTGTTTTAAGGACTAAAAAATGTTAAAAGGCAAAGCACATTGGTAATGACTTTGAAGCTTTACTACAATAGCTTATAATTACACATTTTATAAAACTACAGCTGCTACAGAGACAAAAGAGCAACTTGCTTTTAAAATTGTAATTTGTAATTCATATTATCAGTAGAAATTTGCATAGAAACAATGTGGTTTTCAGGCAATGATGACTTGCTGTGGTTTTTTTTATACAATTCCTACTTTGGATAGTTTTGTTTTCCTATAATATTTAAGCATTCAATTTATTTTAAACTTACCAGTGTCATGTGGAACAAGAGAAGCCCCTGGGAGACAGTGTGTCTCACTTAAAGAAATCTTCTGTGATACCAACTTAAGTGGCCCACCTTTCTGGATGGGCTGACAGGCCGCTGTGGAAGTTTTAGTGGCTGTCAGATCCTGCATTATGTCTTCCCAGTCATCATCATCATCAAAATCACCAATATCGAAATTATCGATATCATGGGATGCCTGGCTTTCTCTTTCTAAGTCATTTACTGAGGCAGTGTGTTTTTTCTGATCTTTCACAGCAGTGCTTGTGAGAACATTTCCTGGGAAATAAGAGCTCTTGTTCCTTTTTTCTATCCTTGGTGTTTCAGTCCAGTTGCTATTGACAAAGGACTTCTCTAAATGGGAATTGCATAAAGGTCTTTCAAAAAGAGTTCTCGAGGTGGGTGAGAATCCTGTCTCTCCTGGGGTGCTCAATAAACACTCCCTGCTGGACAGAGAATTTGAGGGAAGACATGGAACACTTAGCTCCTTAACAGAACTCCCTACAGGGCAGGAATCGTCCTCCCCAAGGCTACGCAGTGTATCAGGCCTGCTTTTCCACAATGAATCAAGGAGATTGGCATCATTTCTAGTGAAATTGGCATCAGCTAGAAGTTTCCTTCTGAAGAGAGAAAAGAGAACAGTATGATAAATACCAGCCTTTTTTTTTTTTTGCAGAACCGGGGATTGAACTCAGGCCCTTATGCTTGCCAGGGAAGCACTTATTCCACTGAGCCATCTCCCCGGCCAATACCAGCCTTTTAATAGGTTGGCCACAAAAGTTTATCTTCAGTTTTCAATCCAAACAGAAATTGTAATAAAGTATCTTTTTTTTTTCTGGCCTCAAAAAATGTGAATATAAATCTTAAAAGAACAGTTTGAAAAATAAATTCAACACTTGGTGACATGGTGCCCATCCTTATGCAATGTCCAGGCCAGGACGCTTAGACATTCTGCCTGTCCATTTCTGACTCACAGTGATAGAAACACAGTCAGACATACCCCAGAGGAGAGAACTCAAGGTACCTTCTGTTTCGCTGCTGTAGCAACTCATCTCCACAATCCAAAGCTTTCAGTTCATTCAGAGGAATAGTGTCCACTAATTTACAGATGTACTCCATCACGTGAAGAAGCTGTTGTTGCAAACTTATTGGTCTGGCTGTAAAGAAATTATGTTATTAATATTTTTCACAAAAGCAAAAAAGACTTAAGCCTTTGAAAGTCATGATGTAGGGGCTGGCGAGATGGCTCAGTGGTCTAAAGCACCTACTTGGAACAAGCTTGGCAAAGCACAGGGACCGTGGTTCGATCCCCCAGCACCACATGCCAGCCAGCAGCGCCCCCTGGTGGGCTGAGCTGCCCCCCCCACTAAATAAATGTTAAAAAAAAATTAAAAAAAAAAAAAGTCATGATGTAAAATGTAAAGCAATATAAACACAAGAGCAGAAACAACAATATACTGTCCTATTATCTGCTTGTGAGTTAACTTGAAATCAGATTCTTTACTCTATAGCATGAGAATGTTTATGTTTTCATTTAATTTTAAGATAATACTACTCAGGGTAAGCTAGCAAACTAGAAGACACACAGTGATGATTCTTTTACAAACTTTATGGGTAAATGTGGCAACAGAGTACGAAGGAGGGACAGGACCCCCCTGCTCTTCCAGCTTCCTGCTGACACTCATAGCACAGTATAGTGCTTGGGTTTTCTTTCTGGAGACCACCTCTGCCCTTCCCTCAGTGGGCATTTGATATGAGGTGGCCTGATGAGAATTACAATAGTTCTGGGAATTTTCCAGCTAACTAGGGAAGAGCATCTCTTTTCAACAAGCTTGAAATACTGCTGGTGGCCACTTCTGCCACCACCCGAGAAAGACAATATAAAGGAAGGCAGAAAACAGATAAACAGAAACAAGGTAGAATTGAGATGAAAAGATGGGATAGAAGAGAGGAAAAAAGAAGGCGATCACTGAGGATGATGTTTGGACTATGAATCCAGGCAGCTCGCTCCATGTGTTCTGTTCTATCATTTTCTTTGCAGTTCTGGGGATGAAACTCAGGGTCTAAAACACCCTCAGCGAGCCCTCTATCACTAAGTTATACTCCCAATCTGGGGTGGTGCAAACAATCTAATCACTTAATAAAAAGCTACCAGATGTGGTAGTCATTCATATACCACTGGTGGTTCAAGCTATCCAGCAGCAAGACATGAACTACAGCCCAATCATGAACATGTTACGTCAAATAAGGAATAGAATTTCAGAGGAGTTAATGTTTTAGATGAAGGAAAAAGCAAAGAAGATGCCTAGATGCCTGAAGGTGGAAATTTTTTTTTTTTTTTTTTGTAGTACTGAAGAATAAAACCAAAGCCTCTGCACTATCCTATATTCCTGGCCCTCTAAGAAAGCTGGGATTACAGTTGTATACCACCATACCTGGCTGGCAACCAGTCTTCTTACAAGGAGACAAAGAAGGTGGAGACAAGGTTCAGAGAAAGAAATGAGGCAGCAGGGGTACAAACCAAGAGCAGTCAGCTGATGTGGTTAAAGGGCTGGAGGGAGAAGAAAGACAGAGCAGGGCCTGAAGAGGACAAAGACGAGACAGCCATCTGCATGAAATACAGGCTTCTATGGTGACTGTGAACAGAGACACTGAGACGGCAGAAGTGGAGCTGCTGAATTCCTACGCTACCTGTCTTCTGTGCAAGGAGAACTGGCAGCATACTGGAAAGAGGAAAACGCACAATGGTCTGCAGGAATGAGAAGCCAAAGTAGGCTTAGAGAGATATGAATACCCAGCTCTTAGGAAGGGGCTCAAGTCTCCCTTGCAGAGATTACACTTCAGACTACAAAGGAAATCCACAAACAAGATGGCAGGGGCCCTGCTGCCAATATGAGGCAGCTAGCAAACAAAAGAGTTGACAGAACATGAAGATGGACATTGTTCTAATCTAAAACAAACAAACAAACAACTGATTGCCAAAAGCTACAGTTTAGTGATCTTGATGTTATATCAAGCAAAAAATTCTAGAACATGTTATCAAATGGCAACTTTGTGAGCCCTAAGAGGAAATACTTACCCAGTTAGCAGTGTTCATGAAAACAAAGTAGCCACCCTGATGTACTTTCTTCTTTGGAAGGATTACTAGACTAACAGATAACAACAGCCACCACTTGGCCAGGCCTACAGTATACCTTGGGTCCTGACAACTACCCAGCAAGGTAGATAATGTTCTCCTTATTTCATAAAGAAAATAAAGGTCCAGTGAAGCTTAAATGATCTGCCACTGTCATATGGGAAGCCAGGTTTCTGTCAGTCTATGTCCCTCCTGGCCCAAGGGCCACCCATTTCCTCTTGCTGCCCCAGACTCTCCATAAGAAGGAAGGGAAGTCTGCTTAGAAGGTAGATCTGTCACTAGCTGAACAAAGAGGAGTGATTCATGCAATGATAGCAGCCAAGAGGGAGGCCTCTAACGATGCACTAGGGGCTCTAGGCCCCTGGCCTAAAGGCCACTCTTTTTTTTGGGGGGGGGGCGCGCAGAACTGGAGATTGAACTCAGGCCCTTGCACTTGCCAGGGAAGCGTTTATTCTACGGAGCCATCTCCCTAGCCATAGGGGCCACTCTTTACCAGTGAAACTTAACAAGACAGGATAGCTTGATGGCCAGATTCAAGTTTGCTGCTAACATTGTGGCTGCAGAGAATGATCCTGCTCTCCTGTACCTTTGTTTCTTGTAAAATGCAGAGAATAAAGGGGAAAAAAAAAAAAAAAAGATGCAGAGAATAGAAATCACATTAAAGGGCTGGTGTGAGGATTAAATTACACTAAAGTTAACAGTGTAGGACTCTGAGGACAGTGCCCAGGACATCAACTATTTCAGGAACTTTTCAATCAATAAATTCAGAGGTCAAAATTAAATAGAAATTCAGGGCTGGCGAGATAGTTCAGCAGACTAAGTGCCTGCTTAGGCAAGTGCAGGGACTGGGGTTCGATCCCCTGCACGACATGCCATGCAGGCCATGCCCCTAGGGGCACTGAGTGGGCCACTGAGACAGGGTGTGGTGGTGCATACCTATAATCCCAGTGCTGGGGAGGCTGAAAATAGGAGGATATATGAGTCTGAGCTGCGTAGTGACACCCCATGCCAAATACATAAAAAACAACAACAACAACAACAAAAAAAAAATCAGAAGAAACAAAAACAT